AGTCTCAATTGATGACGATGATGATGATGATGAAGAAGATAGATAGATAGATAGGTAGGTAGGTAGGTAGGTAGGTAGGTAGACAGACAGACAGACAGACAGACAGACAGATAATTTATAACCATATTATACATACACAAACACACAGAGACAAATAGAGTGATGTAACCAAGTATAATTGATTAATTTTATATATACAGCAGCATAGATCTGAGTACTTTTTAAAGGAGTAATGCCATTGATCTAATCTAATCATATTATCGTCTGACTTAAAACTGACCATATAACAAATTATTACTATTTAGGATTCTAGCAGCAAGGGAAATAATTTTCAAGAATCAGAAATCAAATTACAGATTTTCCGTGGCTCTCCTGTGTATTCAAATAAGGCAAATAGCAGAAGGCAAGAAACTTAACTTTATGCACAGAGACTTTACAAGTACAGGGTATTGTTTATGATGAAAAAAAAACCAAATGTGCTTAATAAACTTAATAAAAGTGCTTAACAAACTTTTAGGACTATACAGGCAGAACTGAGTAGTATTTAGTATTACTGAGCTCTGAAACAAGATAGGATCAGGGATCTGTACTTTAATAATAATAATAATAATAATAATAATAATAATAGTAGTAGTAGTAGTAGTAGTAGTAGTAGTAGTAGTAGTAGTAGTAGTAGTAAAGTTGGAAGGGACCTTGAAGGTCATCTAATCCAACCCCCTGCTCGGGCAGGAAACCCTATACTTGTGGACCATATGTTGAAATATCTTGTTAATGACAGAATTGTCATGCAAATCAATGTTTAAATTAGGCACTTTTCCAGGAAAAATCTCTCATATTGCTGAAGACATTTAAGAATTTCTCAGTTCCCTACATAAAGACATAGTCATCCCAGGAAAATAACTTGGATGAGAGATTTCTTTTCCCCTCACACACGTAAAAATATTAAACCCTCTTGCACAGCAATAAGCATATTTTAATATTTAATTAGCATTTTACNAGGAAGGAAGGAAGGAAGGAAGGAAGGAAGGAAGGAGAGGGGGGGAAAGGAAATGCAATTCTATTTCGTTGAACTTAATACATCAAATTAACTGTGTGCCATTACGAGCATGGTAATGTCATTAGGAATATTTGTATTTGTATTTATTTAGTAACATTCCTTTTGTGTCATCTTAGAATTTACAACTGGGCAACAATGTATTTTGAATAGATTTTTTTGGGCTTTGTGTGGCCCTGTGGTTTCAGACTATCCACTTCTGGAGTAAAATGAAAGCTGAAGCCATCTTTAGAGAATTGCACAAGAACTGCACATAGTATTGCTCTCCCTGTCTGCATTCTCTCTCTCTGTAGAGTCTGCAGCAATGTTGGATTTAAATCTGCTTCTCCAATTAAATTTATTTTCTTAAACCCTTGCTAACTCTGAAAATAAATCCTCTGCTGCCACCTAGTGGGTATGAAGGAAAGTCTCAGTCTCAATTGATGATGATGATGAAGAAGATAGATAGATAGATAGATAGATAGATAGATAGATAGATAGATAGATAGATAGATAGATAGATAGATAGATAGATAGATAGATAGATAGATAGATAGATAGATAGATAGATAGGCAGGCAGGCAGGCAGGCAGGCAGGCAGGCAGGCAGGCAGGCAGGCAGGCAGGCAGGCAGATAATTTATAACCATATTATACATACACAAACACACAGAGACAACTAGAGTGATGTAACCAAGTATAGTTGATTAATTTTATATATACAGCAGCATAGATCTGAGTACTTTTTAAAGGAGTAATGCCATTGATCTAATCTAATCATATTATCTTCTGACTTAAAACTGACCATATAACAAATTATTACTATTTAGGATTCTAGCAGCAAGGGAAATAATTTTCAAGAATCAGAAATCAAATTACAGATTTTCCGTGGCTCTCCTGTGTATTCAAATAAGGCAAATAGCAGAAGGCAAGAAACTTAACTTTATGCACAGAGACTTTACAAGTACAGGGTATTGTTTATGATGAAAAAACCCAAATGTGCTTAATAAACTTAATAAAAGTGCTTAACAAACTTTTAGGACTATACAGGCAGAACTGAGTAGTATTTAGTATTACTGAGCTCTGAAACAAGATAGGATCAGGGATCTGTACTTTAATAATAATAATAATAATAATAATAATAATAATAATAATAGTAGTAGTAGTAGTAGTAGTAGTAGTAGTAGTAGTAGTAGTAGTAGTAGTAGTAGTAGTAAAGTTGGAAGGGACCTTGAAGGTCATCTAATCCAACCCCCTGCTCGGGCAGGAAACCCTATACTTGTGGACCATATGTTGAAATATCTTGTTAATGACAGAATTGTCATGCAAATCAACGTTTAAATTAGGCACTTTTCCAGGAAAAATCTCTCATATTGCTGAAGACATTTAAGAATTTCTCAGTTCCCTACATAAAGACATAGTCATCCCAGGAAAATAACTTGGATGAGAGATTTCTTTTCCCCTCACACACGTAAAAATATTAAACCCTCTTGCACAGCAATAAGCATATTTTAATATTTAATTAGCATTTTACAGCCCTCTCTTTATGCCACCAGTATTGAATTATGAGATTTTTCTACTTGGAAAATTTCAAACTCGCTTGATTGTATGTTCAGCTCTCCACTTTGCTGGCATCCAACCACAGGAAATTCAATTTACCTTTTTTTGTATATTAGGTCCTAAATATAACTTTTTTCCCCCCTCACTTGAATTCGTGGAACTAACCTCTTACTGGGGAAAAAGATATATCTTTATTGGAGATGAACACAGAGGCACCATCGTACCCTTTTTTCCCCAAGTCATTAAAAATAAAATAGTAGTAGTAGTAGTAGTAGTAGTATTAGTATTAGTAGTAGTAGTAGTAATAATAATAATAATAATAATAATAATAATAAAATAATAATAATAAAAATAATAGTTGAAAATAATAAAATTAAAACCAAATAAACTCAAAAGGACAGATTCCACGGACCTCCCCCAGGCCTTTTCCTGCCCTTAGCTTTCCACGTTTCTGTTATTTGCAGTTCATTTTATTCACGTTGCTTTTTTTTTTTTTTTCCACAAGCAAAAATAATAAACACCTTGAATTTATCATTATGAGAGCAATTCCAGCCTCTGGCCAAATTGTTAATTTTCCAGAGGCAAGATAAAAGTTTCCGTTTTCACTAATCCTCTACCCAGACAGTCAATATGTAGCTGTTTCCTCAAAAACAAACAAGGCTAAATCTATTTCGGAAATCCTTTTAAACCTTCAGCATCCACAAAAACAAACCGCGCAAACTTCTCCTCCTCGATGACGTCACTCAGAGAGCCCCCACCTGCATTCAATTATTACAGCGCACTCCCCGCCCGCCCCGCCCCTCTCTCTCTCTCTCTCTCTCTCTCTCTCTCTCTTTTTGTAATTCTGCACCGCCCATTCGAGGGCTTTATCCAATCCCCGGCCCTTTTGGGGTGAGAGCTTTTTTTCAATTGGACCAAAGCGAGCGCGCGACCGGTCCCAAGCATTGATGGACAGGGCGACTAGCCAATTGCATGATTGCCTTAACTCCAGCAGTCCTTTTTGCAGCAACGCGTTTTATCTTTTTCTTTTTTTTAACCTCCCTCCCACCCTCTCTGCAAAGACGGAAGGGGGTTCCTCGCTTCCCCCCCTCCGCACTTTGATGAGGTCAGTGTTCAAGATTGCTACTTTGTATCTGTTTATCTGTCAGTCAATGTATTGCCCTCCTTTTAGGCTAGCTAGGATTTTCCTCTGATGTGAGCTGGGAACTCTGGGAGTCGTAGTTCCGGTGCATCAGAAGGTGCACAGATGGATAGAGCCACGTGTGTGTGTGTTGCATGCAGTTTGTTTAGGTTTATGTCCATGTTGGGAGGCTTTGTGATGAACTGTACAGTTGGTGGTGGGCATTGAGGCTTTGCAGAGCAGCACTTCCTGGATCAGTTAACTCCCTGAAGACAGTTTCCTGCATTCACACATTCCTGTATACGATGGAGTTCACTCTGTTGTAGGAATGCAACCTTTGCTGCTGAAGTGCCCCAAAGCTGCTCTGTCCTGGCTGGTGTTCTTGGTCCTTCTAACCAAGCCCTATTCCTGGGGCACTATCTGGAATGTAGATAGATAGATAGACAGACAGACAGACAGACAGACAATAATAATGATGAAGATAGATAGAAGATAGATAGATAGATAGATAGACAGACAGACAGACAGACAGACAGACAGACAGACAGACAGACAATAATAATGATGAAGATAGATAGATAGATAGAAGATAGGTAGGTAGGTAGGTAGGTAGGTAGATAGATAGATAACCTTTATTGTCATTTTTTTACTGTGGGCACAATGGCACACATTAAAAATGAAATTTAGTTGCTTGCTCTCAAAAGTGTTCACATACATAACAAACATTTAAACATACTCTATACAACATATGTATAGACCTACACCCTTACATGTAAGTATCATATAAATATTAATCACTGTCCATCTTGAATACATAACGGAAGGAGGACGCTTTAGAGTTCACAAGGTTAATACTGTATGAAGCGCCTGATATACCTAAATATACCTAAATATAATTAATTAACACAGATGTGGATAGCCCCTGCCTTCCTCAAAATGTGCTTTCATCTTTCCAGTCTTGACTACAGCCCTGGGCTAAAGTCGTTGGGAGCCAGCAACGTATGCATTTAATACGCAATCATAATTTCTTGCAGACGTTTCACAACCCAACTAGGTAACATGATCAGTGTTAAAAGGAAGCCGGGTTTCCTTTATTTTTATATACAAGTGGTTTTGCCCTGCTGTCAGTGTTGGTGGAGGGTGTTCTTGGTGGTTCCTTGTTTAGGCTGTTGTTTACCGTTGGGTTGTTTGTCTGAGTTGGTAGTTCCTTGATTGGAGTATTGTTTACTCTTTTTTTGCAGATTATTCAGGGACCTGCCCTGCTGCCTGATCCGTGCCTGTCTCAGAAGATGGCTTTGTTAAAGCTGCTTCCACCGGATCCAGAAGACGAGGGTACCCAGCGGTGTAGGCTTGGTCCTGCCGCGTTCGCCTTGCTAGGTGCTAAACTGGGCTCTCTGATCAAGATCACTTTGCCAGGTGGCTGTTGCTTGTGCACGGCCTGGCCGAGGCACGATTCTGCTGATGGCTACCTGCAGTTCGACCTCAAATGCAGGACTTGGGGATTAACAGAGAGCCAACTACGAAAGCAGACCGTGAGCATAGACCAGCTGGAAGTGGTGGCCTGCCCCAAGCTCAGACACGTGACGGTCCGAGTCGTCTTTAAAAACCAGGCCTCAAAAAGAGCTCTCCCTGAAACGGCGCTTCAGGAAGTGGTGCGAGAGCTTTTGCGGAAGGCCTGCGTGGCGTGCCAACACGTCGTGACTTTCCCCCCGATTCTGGGCAACCCTGTGGAGTGCATCGAAATATTGTCCATGGGGCCGTCCAGCCCGGCAGAAGCTGGTTTGATCACCCCCCAAACCAACGTCAACATTAAGGAGACGATCACCCTGGACAGATACAGTCGCCTGATGGGGGACGGCTCAAAAATCCAGGTGGCTGGCTTGGATGAAGCCAGCCAGACTTTGAAAGAAATGATTGAACTGCCCCTGCGTTTTCCAAACAGCTTCAAAAAATTAGGCCTGTCGGTCCCAAAGGGAGTTCTTTTGGTGGGCCCGCCGGGGGTTGGCAAGACGCTACTGGTTAAGGCGGTGACTGGAGAAGTCGGGGCCTGTCTGGTGAGCCTGAGTGGGCCTGTTGTCTATGGTTCACGGCCCGGCGAAAGCGAGGAGAACTTACGGCGAGTCTTTGAGCAAGCCAGAGACCTCTCCAGCGAAGGGCCCACCGTCCTCTTCATTGACGAGATGGATTCGTTGTGCCCCAGGCGGGGAGCTAGCGGTCATGCCCCCGAGCATCGCCTAGTGGCTCAGTTGCTAACTCTTATAGATGGATTTAGCCAAGGAGATGGCCTGGTCATTGTAGGGGCAACAAACAGGCCAGATTCCCTGGACCCTGCGTTGAGGAGACCAGGCAGATTTGATCAGGAGGTAACTGATAGTCGTGCCTTCAGTCCTTCAGGCAGCTGGTTGGTGCTTCATGGAGATGGTTAGAAAAAGCCGTAGGCTGTGTGCAGGTAGTCCTCAATTTACCACAGTTCGTTTAGCAATCATTCAAAGTTATAGCAGTACTTTGTGGGGGGAGAGGGGAACCGGGCCATGTAAGCGGCAGGCCAGAACACATGCATATGCATGCACAGCTCAACTTCTGCAAGTTGAGGTGCATGCGTACACTTGCACTAGCCTGCTACTTGTGTGAGTTGAGCTGCTGAATAGAATGGAATGGAATGGAATAGAATAGAATAGAATAGAATAGAATAGAATAGAATAGAATAGAATAGAATAGAATAGAATAGAATAGAATAGAATAGAACCTTGGAGGTCTTCTAGTTCAGCCCCCTGCTCAAGCAGGAGAACCTATACCATCTCAGACAAGTGACTGTCTAGCCTCTTCTTAAAAACCTCCAGTGATGGAGCGCCCACAACTTCTGGAGGCAAGGAGTTCCACTAGTTGATTGTCCTCACTGTCAGGAAGTTTCTCCTTAATTCCAGGTTGCTTCTCTCTTTGATCATTTTTCCAACCATCTCCACAGACATGCTGCCAGTTGTGTCTGTTGGAGGCCATCACTCTGAATGAAAGTACCACTTGATAGTCCATCTTAATGAGGAATATGTACAACACTTATAATGAAAGGAAGTGCAGTGATTAGCTTCTGTAATGGTCATAGATTCTTGTTTTGAGACAGCCTTTATCCTCATGGGCCTTTTGACACCTGGTTCAGATTAAGCTCTCCTTTGCCCTGGGTTCAACAAACCTTTGTGCGTGCTAGAATTAACAATTTTCCATCCTTGCTTTAGATTATCATTGGGAGCCCAACTCTGAAGCAAAGGAAGTCTATTCTGCAGCTGATTACTGCTGGCATGCCTGTGTCAGACGACGTTAATTTGCTAGAACTGGCAGAAATGACACCGGGTTTTGTTGGGGCCGACCTGACGTCGCTCTGCAGAGAGGCCGCAATGCAAGCCCTGTTTCGTAATTGCACAGTAAGGAGCTCTTTTGTATTTCTCCGTGTGGCCCGTTTCCTTTACTACCAGGATCGTTCTGTTGTGAATTAACTTGGCCTTCCCAGCTGCTGATATCCAGATGTGTTGGATTTCAGTCTCTCTCTAAACTCTGGCCAACATGGCTGGTCTCATCTACAGCAGGGGTCCCCAGCCCCCAGTCCGTGGAGCAGTACCGGGCCGTGGCATGCCAGCAACCGGGCCGCACAAACAAGCAAAGCTCCATCCATGGGATGCAGGCAGCACACAAAACAATGCATCCTCCGGTCCACAAAAAAACCTCTCTCCATGGAACCGGTCCCTGGTGCCCAAAAGGTTGGGGACCTCTGGTCTACAGGATACTGAATGCCTGATCTTCCCTTGGTTACTTCTACTGATGCTCAGAAGGCCAGTCCCAACTGTTTACACTGAGGATGTGTTCATACATGGCATAAAGGCATTATTTGGTTTTGGTTTGGCATAATGGGTGAATCCTGCCATGGTGGTTTGTAAACCATGTTCCATGGCAGAGGCCCCCAACCTTTTGGGCACCAGGAACTAGTTCAGTGGAGAGAGGTTTTTCCGCAGATTGCAGGGGGCGTGGTTTCGCATGCTGCCTGCATTCCACTTTGCTTGTTTGCATGGACCGGTTGCTGGCATACCATGGACCGGTGCTGGTCCGTGAACTGTGGGTTGAGGACCCCTGTTCTATGGTATAGCACAGGGGTATCAAACAACGTCACGTGAAGAGTTGCGACGTATCACCACTGTTTTTCCATTGCCGGCAATGGGGTGGGCGCAGTTTTGCTATGATGCATCCAGCCCGCAGGCCAGCAGTTTGACACCCCTGGTAGAGCATATTGGGGGAATCCAGCCTATTTTGACTTTTTCCATACAATATCTAGTCTGTCCCAAAGGTGTTTTTTTCACAAAGCAACTGGACTTTCTTGTTTTTCTTTGAAGAGTTTTCGCTTCTCATCCAAGAGATGAGATGGGATAACCATGACCTGGATGGTTGAGAATCTCCACAGACAAGTAGCTAGTCTGGTTTTCTTGTTTTTCAGCTCCACCATCCTTTCCTCTCCCTATGATATTGTTGTAAATAACAGTTAGAAATTGGCCCAATGGTTTTAGCAAGGCGGGTCTCCATGTTGTCGCAAGCTTCCATTACATCAATGGAATGGAATCTATTTTTCTGGAGGAGCAGATGTAATCATGTGATTTCCCCAGATTATCAACTAATTTTAGGTTAATGGGATCGTTGGCAAGTTACTAGCTTTATTCTGTTGCTCAAAGTGAATTAGATTATCTTACTTTTGTGCACTTTTGTCTTCAGGATTCAATTCTCCCTGTTGAGATGTCAAACTTTCACGAGGCCCTGAAGAAGATCCGGCCATCGTCTTTCCGAAGCGGAATTGGGTTAACAGACTTCAAGCCCGTCTCTTGGGATCGGATTGGTGGCCTTGAAGATGTGAAATTGAAATTAAAACAGGTAGACTTACAGACTTACAGAGCCTGAAATGAAGAATATTCTGGCTGGTCTGCAAAGAGGCAAAGATTTCCGTGTTTATTTAGTACATTTGGATAAAGCCAACATGGCTGCTAAGCGAATCACTGCAGTTAAGTCAATCAAACGGTCGTTAAGTGAATCCATCTCTCCCCCCCATTGGTTTTTTTTTGTCGGAATGTCACAGATGGTGATCACATGACCCCGGGATGCTGCAACTGTCGTAAATACTTGTTGGTTGGCAAATGCCCACATTTTGCTCCTATGGCCCTGCCGCAATAGTTTTTAAGTGGGGTGATCGGTTGTAAATCTTTGTTTTAAAAATAAAGTTGTTCTGCTCACAAAGAGGACCAAAACTCAGAACGACAAAGAGGTTCAACACATCTTACTGGGCCACCGTATGATGTGCGCCAGCCCAGTCCTAAAAGCCATGGTTTAGGATTTACCATGATCTGTGTGACTCCAGGTAATTGTCGATTGCTCATAAAACTGGTTGGAAGGTGAATTTGCCTTCCAATGAGAAATTAATGGCAAGTTCTGTTCTTTTCATGATTTGTAGAGCATCGAATGGCCAATGAAATTCCCAGAAGCCTTTGTCCGGATGGGGCTGGCCCGCCCAAAGGGCATCCTTCTCTATGGACCATCCGGTTGTGCCAAGACGATGCTCGTGAAAGCAGCCGCGTCTTGCTCTCATTGTTCCTTTCTGGCTGTGAACGGTGCTGATCTCTTCTCCCCTTTGGTTGGAGAGTCGGAGAAGATTTTGTCTCAGGTGGGGTTTTTGTTCAAATGGGGACTGAAAAGTACAGGTGGTCCTCGACTTACGACCACAATTGAGCCCAACATTTCTGTGCTTAAGTGAGACATTTGTTAAGTTTGAGTTGTCCGATCTTCCTTGTCTTTCTTATCGACAATTGTTAAGTCCGGGGTGTTGTTGCAGGTGCTTTTCTGTTTGAAATTATTAGTAGTAGTATTAGTATTATTATATTCTAAATGAACTGTTGTAATTGAGGACTACCTGTGTGTAGTTTTGTTGTTTATTTCACAGCTGATAGACCTAATAGGCTTGCCTATTTGATTCTTTTCTGTCTGCTTTTTTTCCTCCAAGGTATTTCGTCAAGCAAGAGCAAATACTCCAGCAATCGTTTTCCTGGATGAAATTGATGCCATCTTGGGATCCCGATCAGGAACTAAAACTGGGTATGGAGTCCAGGAGAGAGTTCTTTCTGTCCTCCTCAATGAGTTGGACGGCATCGGAGTCAAGTTAACTGAGCGAAGAGGAAATAAAGCAAAGATGGAACATGAGAATCAAGATTCAGCTGAAAGTGATAAAGAGGTATATAGAGAGGCACAATAACTGGATTTTTACTTAAGGTGATTCTGCAATTCCTCCCTTAAGGTTAGTCCTCAATTTACAACTGTTCATTTAGTGACTGTTCGCAGTTACAACAGGGCTGGAAAAAAGTGACCGATGGCCGTTTTTCACACTTTTTCACATCCCCATGGTCACGTGATCAAAATTCAGATGCTTCGCAACTGGCATGTACTTATGACAGTTGCAGTGTCCCGGGACCATGTGATCCCCTTTTACGATCTTCTGACAAGCAAGGTCAATGGGGAAGCCAGATTCACTTAACAACCGTGTTCCTAACTTAACAACTGAAGTGATTCACATAACAATTGTGGCAGGAAAGGTCGTAAAATGGGCCAAAATTCACATAACAAGGGTCTCACTTAGCAATGGTTATTTTGAGCTCGACAAGTCAAGGACTACCTGTATAAGATCACATAATTATACCCTGTTGAATGGGACAGGATAAATTCTTTTTTGCCTCTGTTTCCTTAGCTGAAATAAAGTATGAAGCATTGTTAGTGGGCTATTTTCAGCCAAGGAAAGGCAAAATGGTTTAAATACTGTAGATAAATGGCTAACAGTTCTTCATTTCTATCAACTGACTAGTTAGAACTTCAGGAAGTTTTTAACAAAGACGTCATAGTTGTCGCTGCAACAAATAGACCAGACCGGTTGGATGATGCCTTGTTACGTCCTGGACGCTTAGACAAGATCATCTATGTTCCACCACCCGATGAGAAGGTATGGCATAAAACTGTAGATCAGGGGTCTTCAAACTTGGCCCTTTTGTGACTTGTGGACTTCAACTCCCAGAATTCCTCAGCCAGTGTGCCTGGCTGAGGAATTCTGAGAGTTGAAGTCCACAAGTCACAAAAGGGCCAAGTTTGAAGACCCCTGCTGTAGATGAATTTGAAATCAAAGTCATTATGCCCAAATATTCTGTTTTTAGTGTTTTAATGACATATTGGAATAGTGTCGTTCATTTCAGACATCATTACATAAGAATTATGAATATATGCTAAACATATATATATATATACAGCTTTCCCATGAAAGATATTGGCTAGGCTTGAACATCATCCTAAACTGTTGTTTATTTAATTGTACTTATTGGAGTCAATACTGGCTAGATTGACATAATCAGATAAGCTGTGATAGACACTAGTTTACAGAACATAGTGACTAAAGCCACTAAGCAACAACAAAACAAACGCATTTGGCTTACTGAGATGTGTGACCCTCTCATTCTTTCAACAGACCATCATTAAGGAAAATATAGTTTTGTACACTGTAATGTAGGTCTAATCCACGCAACCCATATGCTTGACGAACACTGCATGAATAGTTACTTTTTTAACTAGTGGGAGGAGGGGGGACCTGGCTTTTAAGAGTGTATAGATCACAGCCTATAAAGCAGGGGTCTGCAACCTGGACAACTTTAAGACTTGTGGGCTTCAGCATAGCTGGCTGAGGAATTCCGGGAGCTGAAGTCCACAGATCTTTAAGTTGTCAAGGTTGCAGACCCCTGCTATAAAGTTATTTAAAACAAACCTCTGCCTCTTTCTTGCTGTTTTAAAATAGGGAAGGCTTTCAGTTTTGAAAATCTGCACGGACAAAATTCCAGTCGATTCTGACGTTTCCCTAGCAAACATAGCAAGTCAAACTAATATGTTCTCTGGAGCTGATCTTGAGAATCTCTGCAAGGAAGTAAGTCATTTTTAATTGATAATGCCTCAGTGACAAGATTTAAAGAAAGTGGGGGGACAGACTAGTAAGTCGTGGAGTCGTGTGATCCCCTTTTGCAAAGTCAATGGGGAAGCCAGATTCAGCAAGTCGAGGACTACCTATATATGCGTATATATTTATGTATGAGGATGATTTATTTTTCATTTATAACAAGTGTCTTTCCTATTTTTCTTTTTTGTTTTCTCTTAGGCTGCTTTGCTAGCATTGCAAGAGAACCAAGTGGAAGCCACAGCTGTGAAATATAAACATTTTGAAAAATCCCTGGAGACTATAAAGCCCTCATTAACTCTCAAAGAATTGCAATTTTATGAAAATCTATTTAGAATTCAGTAATATAATTGGCACAGTGACTATATACCAATATGCAGATATGTTCACCTTGAAAAATAAGTTGAAAGATACGTAAAAAGAGGATGGAATAATGAAGGGAGGCTAGCCTGAATGGCTGGAGGTATTTATTTTAAATATTTTATCCAGCTTCTCCAGAATTATTCAGTGTATGCACCACTGCTTCTCTTCGACTGAAATTTGATTCCCGTTTTTCACTGTCAAGAATGGACAGACTGAGTTATCACTTACTTTACACCTGGAGGGAAGTTTATTAAAGTCACTGACTAGATTCTTATCTTGAGCTGGCATAAATGTTATATTTTGGCTTAGCATGTAATGGAATGCAGCGATGGTGGCTTGTAAGCTATAGTTCATAGTTCCGTATTAAACCATAAAAAGTTAAACCAGGCAATAAACATACTGACAGTTTGCATTACATATTAGACTAGAAATCATGATTTACGTATCAAGGTTATATCCTGTTCACAGAATGCTGAACCAAACTTAGGCAAATACTGCAGTGACCTTCAGTATTGTGGGAATTGTTAGGCACTGAATGGACTCTCACAATTCTTGGGTTTAGGTAATTCTCTGTTCAGCCAATATTTCTAAATGCCATTCAGATTTTGATTTGGAACAAATCATGGGTCATTGAAAAAAGCCAGAATGCTAAATATAAGCTGATCTACAAACAGTAATGGCTGAGTTCAGACAACATATTAAGCCCTAACAAAATAAACTATATTCGTGTTTAGTGTGATGGATAAGTCTCGTTATATTAAAAAAAACACAACCTGACTCTATTTCAGTATTTTTGTAACTTCGTATGACTGTTATTCAATAAAATAAGTTACTGAATGAAAGGTCTTATATCTTTTTGAGGGATTCTTAGCTAGTTCATCAATTTTGCGGTTACGATGTAATTGATTAGCCAGGCAAAACGCCTTGTTTATAGACAATTGTTATTGTGATATGTGGAAGAAAAGAGATGAAGAGGGTGACCAGCAAGAAGGTGGAGAGATTCAGTTACCATGGCGACCGGTGCATCATTGAAAGATCTGAAGGACGAAGTTCGGGACAGATTCACCAATACGGTCACTAAGAACCAACAACAACTTGATGGTAGACAATGATTACAGTATGAACAAAAAAATGGAGTTTGAGACAAGAGAAGGGGGTTAATCCCAGAAAGGATTCACAGCTGTAGAATTTCAGTTCTTCATCGCTGTCATCTATTTACTATGATGTGCTAGGGCTAATTTAAAAATAAAACTGCCCCAACAAGTAGGCCCTATATTCTCAAGCCAGACTTGGGGGAAGCTGGGATGGATGGATGGATGGATGGAAGGAAGGAAGGAAGGAAGGAAGGAAGGAAGGAAGGGAGAACCAACTGCTTCTAACGGACTTTCCCCTTTGTGTTCAGACTGCTGCCTTCTTCCTGTCATTCTCTGGGGCTTGACTTGTGGGGAGAAGAGGCATCTCTCCACTAGAAGCTAGCAAAGCAAGACAGACAAGTGAGAGGTCACCCTCCTTGTCCTTCATCTCACGGGCCACACCAAGAAAGGCCTTAACAGTAACAGAAACAGGGTGAGAAGGGGGCTTGGCCAGCTGGGTGGGCAACAAAATGGCGCCGAGGGGGCCAAGAAAACTGTAACCCACCAGTTATGGCCGGGCAAGGAGGCTATGCAAGAAAAAGCACCTGGTGAAGGAAAGGAAAGGAAGAAAAGGGAAAGAATAGAATAGAATAATAAGAGTTGGAAAGGACCCTGTAGAGTAGATCATCTCGTAGTCCAATCCCGTGCTCAAGCAGGAGACCCTACACCATTTCAGACAAGTGGCTGTCAAAAGGAAGGGAAGGGAAGGAGGAAGAAGGGAAGGGAAGGGAAGATCTAAGCTTAGCATGTAATATGAATGCAACCACTAGGTTCCAGGTGACTAGAGAAGTGTGTTGTGTGAACAGGATGTGGAAATGCAACTGAAACAGGATGCACACAAATCTGGGGCAGGGTGAGAGGTGCATTCATTCCACTTGTTGGGCCTTGCGGGCTTCCCCTTGCAACCAGGCAACAGGTGAGAGAGGGGACCTCCTCCCCACCTCGCGGTATCGTTTTTCCTAGTCCACGGCTGAGGGTCCCCTCCAGCATCGTTCAAAGAGAGGGGCCTTCTTTGGCCATATTGCAGTCCAGGCACACAGGCCCCGACTAGAGGCAGTTTAACTTGTTTGCGGCCTTGCAAATATTTTGCACTTCGCTGTTTGCCACGTTCTGGGAAGGGATAGGTTATGTTGCATACAATAAACCACAGTTCAGCAAACTGTGGTTTGAGGACTTTGGACAAGCCTAATCCTCTCTGCTGCCAGAGGTCGGTTCCAAAATGGTGCCCTTCTTGTCCGATGATTGCATTTGTACAACCAGCTAACCCTGATTTGCTAGGACCCCTCTCTCAGGCGATGCAGCCTTTTCTAACAACCAAATTTGAGAGCCTTTTTTTTGAACATCTGAAAATGCAGGAGGTTTTTTGTCAACATTCTATCAATTTTACAGGAGTCTGAAACTCCTTTTCATTGTCTGCTCCTTCCTTTCCCAATTGTTTGTTTGTTTGTTTGTTATATTTTGATGCTGCCCATATCCCCTACCAGGTGACTCTAGGCAGTTCACAAGTTATAACACTGTCCCCAAAATTGGCTCTACATTTTCTTAATACAGTGTGATGTTAGGGCAGTGGAGATTGTGTATTGAAGCAATTCCTTGCAACTACCATCTTTGTAGATCCGAGAGGCCTTTCCTCCCTCCATTTTCTCATTTAGAAGTTTTATGCAGCTGCCCATGTTTCATACAGGCTCAGGGGTACGTCTTACGCATCGGATATACAGTAGTATCTTTGTTTAGATGCAATTAGCAAGGGAAGGGTTCTAGCAATAGATATCCCTGAGATAGGATTTGAAAATAAACCTACTAATAAGTACTTCGTAACAGCCACAATCTTTCCTTACCTCATCTAATACTCACCTTCTCCAAGGTGAGCATGGATCTCCCGGAAAATCAACTCTTCTTGCAGTACAAATTTAATCAATTGCTTTTATTTGTGTCAATTGTGTAAATACGGTTGGTGGCTCAGTCAGCCGGGTGCTTGGATTGGATTTGGCCTATTTATCCACCTATTGAGTCCTTCATCCTGACCTGAGATAAGCAGATGTTGTTGTTTGATGGCATAACAGGTACCATTGTAGGATGTAAGCCGTTCCGAGTAAAGCTGCCTTTTACAATTAACTGGTGGGGATTTTGTCGGTGTTGATGGTGTTCAAGTGGTGCTCCAGTTGTTTTGGGATTGCCCCCAAGGTGTCTATTGCTATTTTATTTATGTATTTGTGGCCTGCCTTTATTATTTTTTTACAAATAACTCAAGGCTACGAACATATCCAACACACTCCTTCTATTTTCCTCACAAAAACAAGCCTGTGAGGTAAGTTGGGCTGAGAGGCAGCTGGCTTTCATGGCTAAGGCAGAACTAGAACTCATCCACTCCTGGTGCTTGGCCCAAAGTCACCCAGCTGGCTTTCATGGCTAAGGCAGGACTTGAATTCACAATCTCCCATTTTCTAGCCTGGTACCTTAGCCACTACTGGCTCTTTTAGACCAAACAATTGGGACTACCTTTGCTTTCTTTTGCCACAGTCATTCTCCTTCTATTTGCAGGTCTTTGTATTTTACTACTACTATTACTATTATTATTATTACTATTATTACTATTACTGTTGTTGTTGTTGTTATCCTGGTGCCTTAATCACTACACTAAAGTGACTCTTACACCCAGACTCCATCACCACAATCTCACTTTATTTAACTAACCCAACACACTGACCGTTGCTACACATTCCCAGCAGGGAGCACCCTCGTTCTGTGCAATGCTCCTATAACATCCGTAGGTGGCTGAATTGCCCATCCGAGCTACGTGACTTGGGACACATCCAGCGCCCTTGGGCGTTAACGGTATATAAAGGGAGAAGTGCGTATCACTGAAATTTTCTGCAGATCTACTTCACCAGGTTGTTGTGATGGGGGAGAAAGAGGGCTCTTTCATTTATTCCAGGGAGGGATGGTAAATTGGAAGGAAGAAGGGAACACCTGCCCAGAGTGGTACCCAAAGGATGCTTCCCGAAGATAACTTGGGAACTTTTTTTTCTTTTTCCTTTGTCTCAGAGTTGCACCTGCTTCCACCATGTCAATCTTCCGGTATTTGAACAAGCATAGAGAGGTAAGTTTTGGGCTTTGGCATTAGACAAATCAGAGGATCAAATTGTCTGTGCACAGGCAAGGTACAAAGCATCCTTGGATGGGAAGTTGCTGTCCCTGTAGACCCTCCAGGGACAAGGAAATATTGGGGAAAGACGTTGGGGAAGAAATGTCCTTCACAAATCCCGTTTTCTCCTGAAGTAGAAAGGTAGTTTGATGCTTTGTGTCTTCCAGCTGATTCCTCTGGCTATGATTATGACCACCACGCTGAGTGGGATGGCGTACACCGGCTTGAGAGCCTTGAGGAGATCAGATATAGTGTAAGCAGCACCTGTTTCTTTACAGTCACTCCAAAAAATGTTCTTCTCTTTACTTCAGATCTGGTTCTTTGCTTTGTTGCTTTTTTTTTTTAATCTAAGACAAATGGGGTGAGAGACAACAGGCAAAAGAATAGCATTTTCCCCCCCCCAGAACTGAAGATTCTAACACGAGCATGAAATTGTGCAACAAGGAATAAAATCAGACAGGGTTGGGAAAAAGAAATGTTTCACATTTTTGCTTTATTTCTCAAGGAGGAAGTGGCATTTTGACAAGAGTCTTTCTCAAGGAAAGTTCAAAAAGCCTCTCATGCAGAAATTGAAAGAATTCCTTCTAATTTAAAAAATGTTTTCTGTTTCAATCGGGGTGCGTTGGTATCTGTGTTTATGTATTTTTTAGTGGATCATTAGGAATAAAGCTCAGCAAGAACTGAGTTTAGGTTTTAAAACCCACGAGGTTTAAAAATGCTTTGCCTTTAGTTTGGATGCTGAACTTTTTCATCATGCAGCTAAAGAAGAATCAGGTTACTATAAAAGAAAATTGTTTTTCTGTATCTTAGCAGCATATAAGCAGATTTTCCGTATTATTCTCTCGAGGAATTGTTTTCCTGCATTGACATTTAAATCAGTAGCTTTCCTGAGTTTTAAATTACTCAGCTGAAGTAAAGTCAATGGAAGTCCATGATGCTAATTTCAAAATAAATCAGATGGTGCTATTGAGTCTTTTTTTTTTCACAGCTAAAATACAGTTTTATTAAGCTGATGATTAGCCAGAGGTTATTTTTATTTCATCCATAATAAATGCTGCATTTTGCTTTTAGCATTGATAGGTGGCACAATCCTGAACCATGGGAAAAAGTGGATCCTACCCAACCCCAAAAGGTAATGAACTTCATAGGGTAACAAGTCCTGAACTATATTATTAAGAATCTAGAGTCAAGACGTAAGAAACATACAGATATGTAAAAGATAACTAAATTAACTTTTTGGTGCTATTAATACTTCATAACATTGGCTAATATATAACTAGAAGTGCAGGTTGTCATTAAGTTGTGATCAGCGTTGTTAAATGGTCCCAGTTGAAATCAATACTGGGCAATAGCATAAAATAAAATGTATATTTATTAAGCGCCGACAATACACCATCTTTCTATAGTGGAAATGTATCTAATCATCAAATCTCAAAGTCAGAGCTTCACTTTCGTCTTTCTCAAGCGGAAAGTCCGAAATTGCTGCCCACGTCAAAAGAAAAGCCGTCAAATTGTTCTCTCGAATCAAAAGCAGTCCATTTTGCCATCTCGGCCGGAATAAAAATCTTATTTTATATTGGCTCTTCTGTAATGTGAAATGCTAATATGAGTGATATCTGGGGAAGGGAGGGGGGAGGAATCCCTAATACCACTAAGCTTGTTAATCTTTTGTCTTTTTTCAATCTTTTCTCTTATACGGCAGCTGTTTACAATCCGTCAGAAATGGGAGCCCATCCAAGAACTGGAGGAGGTCCGAAAAGTCTTCAAGGGGTGAGGCCCCAGCCCTACCAAACGACACTCTCTGAATCTAGTGGAATCATTTCTGCACAAACTAGAGGATCGAAACCAGTGTGCGGAAATGCTTCTGCTACATTTTTAGAGTCTCTCTCCATTATGTTTTGGACTCTGGAGGAGGTTACTGTCGGGTTTTTGAAACCGCCCAACCTAGAACCCTATCGTGGGGAAAAAAAGAAAAACGTGTTAGAAAAGGCGGCTTGTTGTACTGGTTTTGAGTTCTGCCCTGCTTCTTGTAGAAAGACAAAGCAGCATTTCTCCGTGTGTGAGCTTTAAAAAGAGTTGGGTTGTTGGGGGGGGGGGGGAAACATATGCTGTCGTTTATGTTTTCAATAAACTTGGAATTTATCCAGTAGTTTATCAGGTCTCAGACTGATTGCGATTCTCATTTAGTTGGGAGCGATAAAAAGAATATCATTGCATTGTCTTCAAGGAAGGATCTATTTTTCTTTGTATCCTTCTGTTCACCCAACATCCTAAGATAGCTTGCTCATTTATTAATAAGCCACAACATGTTTAGCCACCTCTAACATTCTTGGTTTTCCCCTTCATCTTGACCCACTTTCTGTATGTATTTGCTTTGCAATTCTATCTTCGTTTCGTTTTCTTTATATCACTAAACCACATCAAGATGCTTCTTTTGTAGGGAGTCACTCACTTTAGTGTTTAATCCACATTCGTGCTAATTTCTACACTTGCTTCCCCTTGGTTACTTACAACTATCATCTGACATAGTTGACCCAGCCGTTTACCGTAGACATTCCTGATTTTACAAGATAAGATTTCTAGGAAAAGTTAGGTGAGGGAAATAAAGTCTCCCTTATCAAGAAACATTTTCCTTAAATTATAAATTGGGCTCCTGAAAATCTAAAGGGCACAGGCTTATAAAATCTTTTAAAAGCAAATATTATTTGAAAAAAAAGAAGGCTGTTGAGAAAGAGAGAGAGAGGAAGAGAGAGAAGATGCAACATTTGTTTTTACTTAATTATTCTTGAGTACAAGAATGACTTGACAGAATGCAGATAACTGCTACCCTTCCAGATTTCTTTTTTATTAAATAATTCTATTGAAATTTTTAATAAACATAGTAAAAAACTAAACTTTAAAAAGGAAAAAATACAGAAGGAAAAAGGAAAAAATCAAAGAAAAGTAGACAAGACAAGAAAAAGACAATAATGACAATAACAAAGATTTACCAGTCAGAATCACAGCAAATGTCACCTGATATACAGTTTATTTCTTTGTTTAAAACTTTTATATAGCCGCCCACTGTTCAACCAACTCTGGACCGTTCTCAATCAAAATTTAAAAGACATGTATTAACTTTTCACCCTCTTTTAAAGTTGCAAATGAAAAAGCTCTCTTCTTCCCATGTTTTTTATCATCTATATGCAACCCAGAAATCATAACTTTTCAGTCCTACTACTTTTTACTGAACATTCATTAGGAATTATCAGAAATATCAGGCAAATCCAGCTTTAGATTCCTTCTTTTTTGCACTGCACAATCTTAACTTTTAAATCATTCCTAGGTTGAGGCAGGATTTGAGCTTTTCTCACTCTTTGTTTGTTAAAAGGAATATTCTAATATACTGTAGAATAAAGCTGAAAGGGACCTGGGAGGTCTTCTAGTCCAGCCCCCTTCTCAAGCAGAAGAACTTATACCATCTCAGACAAGTGACTGTCTAGTCTCTTCTTAAAAATCTCCAGTAATGGAGTGCCCACGATTTCTGGAGGCAAGGAGTTCCACTGGTTGATTGTCCTCACTGTCAGGAAGTTTCTCCTTAATTCCAGGTTGCTTCTCTCTTTGATCAGCTTCCAACCATTGTTTGTCATTCTTCCCTTTTGTGCTCTGGTGAACAACCTGGCCCCCTCTGCCTTGTGGCAGCCCCTCAAATACTGGAATACTGCTATCATGTCTCCCCTATTTCTTCTTTTCTTTAGACTAGCACTAGCCAAACCCAAGTCCCACAGCCGTTCTTTGTATGTTTTAGTCTCCAGGCCTTGGATCATCTTAGTTGCTCTTCTCTGAACTTTTTCCAAAGTCTCAACATCTTTTTGGAGGTATGGTGACCACAATTGGTCACAGTATTCCAGGTATGGTCTCACTAGTGATCTTCAAAGCTTTCACCAGCCTACTTTGTAAACTCCATTAAAAAGACATCGTCCAGGATTTTTTTTTGTCGCAATCCTTCCAGATTTCTAAACAGTTTCCNTCGGTAGGATGATTTTTGAAAGGACATGTGGCGGTTATTTTGAGCAAGCCCACGCTTGCGGCTTCGTTGACATTTGTCTCCAGCTGAAAGGAGGAAATGAGTAAATCAATTTTGTCAACATCAGAAAAGCCAAGCTAAAAGGCCATGGATCCCTGATTAAATTCAAAGACTGCACAATGCTGAGACTGAAATGCCACTTAAAAAAAAACAAAACAACGATCTGGTGAAACAGAAATCTGGCGTCCAGAGTTACGAGATGTATCACCTCAACACCTGTCCCAAAGGTGCTTTTTCTTCCAAAAGGCAATTGGACTTTCTTGGGGTTTTTTTTTCTTTGAAAACATTTTACTTCTCTTCCAAGAAACTTCTTCAGAACTGATGAGAAGTGAAACGTTTTCAAAGAAAAAAAAACTAAGAAAGTCCAATTGCCTTTTTTGGGAGGGGGAAAAAAAGCATTTTTGGGACAACCATCACCTGGATGATTGAGAATCTCCATAGACACCTCAATACCTGTTTCCATGACATGCTCAACCCATTTGTTGTCTGCCTGGCACAATCACACTAAGTCAAAAGACACCACAAACTCCCTTTCTGCTTTCTCTGCAAACGACTGCCTGGCATTCCATGTGCTCGTACGACATATTTGGGATATGTGCTGCCCAATCTTGGCAGTAAGAATTGTAATTTAAAAAATTGGCTTTCCCAGCTTCTTGTGCTTTGTAGTTCTTTTTCTTGGGGTGTCTCATGCAGGCCAATTGACTCGGTACAGGTGCTCTCCCAATGCAACCGACTGGATGAAATTTGTTTAACCCTGTTTAGACTTTCTGAATTAATTTAGTCATACTTAGGACTCCTGTATGGAGAACTAGTGCAGGGAAAGCGCCCCAGAGGGATACCTGAGCTGCGATATAAGGATATCTGCAAGAGGGATCTGAAGGCCTTGGGAATGGACATTAACAGCTGGGAATCCTTGACCTCTGATCGTTCAGCTTGGAGGCTAAAGACACAGCATGGCCTTCTCCAATTCGAAGAGACACTTGTGCGGCAGGCTGAGGCAAAGAGGCAGTCCCGGAACCAGCAAAACCTGGGGGCCGGACAGGGGACAGATTGTATCTGCCCTCAGTGTGGAAGGGACTGCCACTCTCGAATTGGCCTTTTTAGCCACACCAGGTGCTGGTTTAGGACCTCTTTCCAGAGCACGATACCATAGTCTCTCGAGACTGAAGGATGCCAATGATGATGATGACTTAGGACTTAGTTAAACTTCCAGCAGGTTCCTTAATGGTGCAATCTGCCCTTCCAAAAAGCCAATAATTCTCATGGATTCAGTGAAGTGTATTATGAGACAAAGCCAATGGGAAACATCTTTATTGTGTAGGATTCCTAGACCTGATTTGCAAATAGATGAGCAGCCGTTGAAGGACAGCAAAGAATTGGGATTTCCTAGATCACTCTGCAGGCCTTCTGGAGGTTTACAAATTAGGTAACTCTGCTCTTTTTCAGTATTCAAAAATAATGGATCAACGGCAGCAGCCAAAGCTAAGTCAACTGATCAGCCAGGGCTCCTTATGACTACGCAGACGTCCTTTAGGAATTGATGCCTGCTGTTGGGACCACCGAGGAAAAGCAAGTTGATTTTTCAGGAGAACTACTTTCTTCTTTCTGCAGCCTCATGTGCTTTTAGGACCTATACAGAAGCAAGAACTTTGGAGAGGGGGGAGGGCAAGGGAATATGGATGCAGTTGTATTTAATAGATACCGTAGACTAAGTTTTTTTTACCTCCTGAAGAGTTTTACACCCATTCCTACTTTGGGATCTGCAACTATAACACAGCTGGTGTTTTCATGTGTTGTACAGTTAAGTATCTTCTTGCTGTTTAGGCTTGAAAAGGTAGCAAGAAACCAAGATTTCATTTCCTTCTTTGGGTGGTGAAAGGAGTGGTTGTCTATCACATAGCTGACTCATTTGCGTACGTGCTGCAGAAGAACAGGAGGAAGGAACCATAAGTATATGTTTAACTATGAGTAAACACCACGCTATATGGTGTTTCTATTTCCTTGAAATTTGGTTGCCTGAACGCCAAGGTGGACAACCTATGATCCTCAACATTATCCTTTCTTATTTTCATATCTTTGACTATGCCTTTGGGCAGCTATGTGGGTTGGGCCCAAAGGTTTAGGATAGCAGCAATCAAGTCTTAAAGGGCTTCTAGTTAATTGTCCACTCCTAGACAAGCTTGGTTGATTTGTAGAGAAGAAGGAGGGCCTCACAAGAGCACCTTACTCAAAACTTATCCTCCTCATACAGCTTCTCCTAGATCTTGGAGAAGCAAAAGGTTGTAAATCAGAAAGTCCCTTGCTTCTTGTCAGAGAAGGACAACTCCATCTTATGTTGAATTCTTAGCAAGAGATCGGCTATTTTTTGCCTTGACATTGTCTCCATTTCTCCATAGTGGGTATGACTGTGCAATTTGCACTACTAAAGTAGGCTCATTGCAACCACAATAACTTGTGCCCACATTTTTAAGTGTTGTGTTCCCCAAATAGTTAAGAGTGGACCATTTTTAGAAGTGTCAAGGATTGATTGCTTCCCTTGCAAACCTCTGAGAGCCTCGGATGCATCTTCTTGTGAGGGTCTTTAAATGCAAGCCATAAATGCCTTTGTATTTTTCCATCAAAAGCACTTTAGAAAGAAAATAATCATGGCAGCCCAAACCCATTAACTATGGGATAGTCTATGGATTAGAGGCCCTAATAATAGACTTGGCTTCTTACCACTGAAACAATATGCTGTAATTAATTTTGAAGCAATAATGCCCACCAGTTGACTAGCTATTTTAAGTTGAAGGTGGTGGAGAAGCTTCAAGGAAGGACACTGATGTCCTTTGTATCATCCACTCCACTTCCTCTTTCCATTGTGGTCTCAACTTGCTCAGTTTTATTCCTTTGAGCACAGGTCAGTGGGAAGTAATATGTAAGAAGTCCCCAGATTTTTGCCCTCTCCAGTTAAAATGATCTGAAGTAACCAACAAAGGAGATCTGCCTTATTCTTTGTCATTCCTCTAGAACTTTCTGGAATTCAT